TCTCTCTCTCTCTGTCTGAACATCCCTCCAGGTTATGAATGTACCGTCGTGAGTAAGAGAAAACTCTTTACCAGGGTTGTTTACAACAGAGTTGGGGTCATTTAAAACAAACAAACGAACAAACAACAAACCCTAAGACAAGACACCCACTGCAGTGCTATCTGAGTGCATGTGGGCCCCCTGCCCCCAGGGGTCCTGCTGCATGCTTGCTGGCTGTGTGGCATCTGCCTGCTGTGGTAACAGCCCTCTGGGGTGTGACATCAGCCTCCCCCCATCACTCTGTGGTGTGTGCTCAGGAAGCCACTCATGGGGCAGAGGTCTCTGGGGTGCAGGGCAGAGCCTGACTCCGCCCAGCAGGGACCTGATGTCACACACAGTAACCAGGCCTGGCCCTCCACATGCTCCCAGACCCCTGCTCAAGGAGGCACCCTCCACAGGTGCCGGGGACGCTGGCCTTGCCACCAAATCACTGTGTGGCCGTGGATGCCCCTCAAGATGATCGATGGGGGCTGCGTGCTCTGCAGGGTCCGTCTGGCCCTGGAGAATGTGACAGGCCCGGAGGAAGAAGGCTGAGGGTTACCGTCGACGGTGCAGGCGGAGAGAGCAGAGCAGAGGGACACGTGTGCAGATCAGCTCTGACCACGGGACCCCCGGGCTGTGCATGCGGCTCTCGTGCACTCTCACCTTGTCATCCCTCTCCCCAGCTGGACTGGCCAAGACCCCTGGACGGCGAGGCCAAGACCCCTGGACGGCGAGGCCAACCCCATTGCCCACGGCCACGCGCCTGCGGGTGGCAGGTCTCACCTGGGAAGGCGTTGACGTCGATGACCGCGTGCTGCCCTGTCTGGTTGTTGATGATGATGTCGATCCCAAAGAGGGACACGCCCAGCGCCTGCCGAAGGGCCCGGGACAGCGCCCGGATGACCTCGTCGCTCGGCCGCTCGAACACGCCCTCGATCTTGTCCAGCTGCCGACACAAACGGGGAGTCAGGCTGGGCAGGGAGTCTCAACACCCAGACACCCTGAGCGGGACCACACGGCCACACCTGATGCCCTGGAATGAGCGGACCCCACTTCCCACATGCGGCAGGCGGGTACACATAGGGGTGTGGCCTTGCTTGCCCACAAACACCTGGGGGCAGGGGTCTTCACTGGCATTTTATGGTCAGGGGAGCTGATGCTTGGAGCTCAGGGGCTGGCGTTGGGTCACAGCTCAAAAGTCCAGGTCAGGACCCCATTTTCAGCCTCTACCACTGACCACTCTGCAGAGAGGAAGGAGAAGGCTATCTCCACAGGCTCAGGACTCGGTGCAGAGACTGCTACAGATGGGCTGATTCAGGCAGGGGGCAGGTGGCACAGAGGGCTCCCCGTGAGGAGTCCCGGGGCCATGGTCAAAGGACAGAACAACCCTAACCTCCTTCAGCAGATGTGTGAAGTCACAAAGTGTGGTGCAGAGCATGTAAGAGCAGAGAGGACCGCACTGCTGGTACACGGCCCAGGCGAGCGCGGGCACGTCATGCTGTGGAAGAGCCAGGGACACATAGTCCCCGGGGCTGATTCTCTAGAGACAAGGCCGAGGGCCCTATCTCTAGAGACAAAGCCGGCCATCGCTGCCGGGGCTGGGGAAGAGGGCGATGAGGGGAGACCCCTTAGCGTGTGCGGGGATTTACTATGGAGAGATGAAATGCTCTTGAACTAAAGAGGTGGTGGATGGGTATTGCTGGTGAAGTGCCAACCACCACTGACTCGCTTACTTGAGTCTGTGTGTGTTTACTATTCGTCTATACTAGACTCTGGTGAGAGTTTTAGGTGAGTTTCACTTCAATTAAAAACAGGAGTGAAGCAGGAGTGAGTGGACTTCTGGGCAGTGAGGAGAGTGACACAGAGGAGTCAAAGGGATCTCTTGTCCACACCTGGACCCTGTCAGCTCTGTGACACAGGCTGGTCCTCCTGTCCACACCTGGACCCTGTCAGCTCTGTGACACAGGCTGGTCCTCCTGTCCACACCTGGGCCCTCTACGTGCTCTGTGGGGACAAGCTGGCCCTCCTGTCCACAGCTGGGCCCTGTTGGCTCTGTAGGACCAACTGTCCCTCCTATCCACAGCGGGTCTCTGTGGCAATGCTGAGACCCTCCTGGCCACATCTGGACTCTGTGGTACAGACTGGCCTTCCTGTCCATACCTGGGCCCTTCTGGCTCTGTGGGACCAGCTGGACCTCCCGTCCACACCTGGTCTCTGTGGGACAGGCTATTCTCCCATCCACATCTGGGCCCTGCTGGATCCATGGACAGCCTGGCCTCATCCACAGCTGGGCTCAAGTATGGCCCTCCCATCCACACATAGGCCCCGCAGCCTCTGTGGGTCCACCCACAGTCCACTGAATGGCTATATACTTCTGGGAGATTCTCTCTGGGACAGGGTTCTCTCTTTATCAGGGACCCTCACCCTTAGGACTGCCTGGTCCGGCTGCCCACTCCTGGATGTCTCTTGCCATCAGAAGGGTCTTCCTGGGCCTGGCATGCCCCCTCCCCACTGCTCTGGGATGCCACTCCCCTGGTGGGGCCTCTGCATCCCAGGACTGGGTGAGGATAAAGGGGCCGCTGAGGCTGCTGACCAGGGCCTGGCCGTGGGGAGCCTGGTGGCCCGTTAATAAAGTACTTTCACTACTCAGATAAGAGCGCTCAGAAATCTTCCTGAACCCCTTGAGGAGTTCAGACCAAACTCCCACCCCATCCTGGGGACAGAGGCCAGGACACTAAGAAGCTCGGGGGACAGAGGCTAGGACCCCAGGAGGCTCGGGGGACAGAGGCCAGCACCCCAGGAGGCTCGGGGGACAGAGGCCAGCACCCCAGGAGGCTCAGGGGACAGAGGCCAGGACCCCAGGAGGCTCGAGGGACAGAGGCCAGGACCCCAGGAGGCTCGGGGGACCAAGGCCAGGAACCCAGGAGGCTTGGGGAATGTGAAGACGGACCAGCCCTCACCTCCCACCACAGTGGACCCCATCCTGGAGACAGAGGCCAGGACACTAGGAAGCTCGGGGGAAGAGGCCAGGACCCCAGGAGGCTCAGGGGGCAGAGGCCCGCGCCCTGGCCATGCCAGCACAGTTTTGGGCTGGACCTTCAGTAGGGAGGTCACACGACTACCAGGCCCCAGAGCTGGGGTTGACCCAGGCAGCCCTGCTCATTGCTAAACTGGCTCTCATAATGAGGTGAAAAAGAAGGTGGGTGAAGTCCCGGAGCCTGGGCTGGGCACTGGGTCACCCTTGAGGGTGTCCAGGTCAGAGCAAACATCCCAGCCTGGGCTTCCTGGAAGGGGGTGGAGATGAGTGCTGGCCCAGTGGGTACAGGTGGGTCAGACCCACACCTGAACAGAAGCGCACGGCCAGGAACCAAGGGCCCCATTTAAAAGCCGGCTCTTCCGAGAGCGTTAGTGTCCACAGGACTTGTGTCTAAGCATGTCTGCTCACGGTGTGAGGGACAGCGGAGTCCCCAGGTCCTTGGCCACCCGTGAGCTGTAACTACCGTACAGAACAGTTGGCATCTCTAACGAATCGGAAGGTCAGAGGCAGGATATGGACAGACTGCAGCTGTGGGTGGGGTGGGAGAGCCCAGGGAATGGGGGAGTTAGCGTGGACAGAGAGGTGGCTTGACCCCTCCCTAAACAGCTGGTCTAGAGGAGCGAGACCTGTAAAGGCCAGGGGCGCAGCTCATGGGGCAGGGTAGGGAGGGTTCAGGAGAGGTGGTCTGGACTCAATCCTGGGGCAGATCCAGGCCCCGTGTGGGCGTGGACACATCCCCAAACTACTGGGCATCAGACTTCCTCCTGGGCACCCGGGGCTGGGTGCTGGCCTGGATGAGGTGGCTGGACATGGAACACCAAGCCTGTTTCACAGCCACATCTGCAAAGCACCTGGGTGATTCCTCCATTCAGGGTAACGGCTGAGGAGGGGCAGACCCAGGCCACCCCTCACCCTCAGCCCCGGCCCTTAGCTGCACTCGGCCCTGGCCCCGTTGTAACCTGAAGTGAAGTGAGGGGCGGATCACAAAGCTGGTCTTCTACCTCCTCAAGGCAGGACGGGTCTCCTCACACAGGAGGTGCAGTTATGAAACATGTGGGGTGTCCCTGTCACCAAGTCCAGGGTGGTGGAGACATCACCAATAAGGACTGCAGTGGGGAGTCTTTGGAAGCTGGGTCCACTCTGCTCCCAGGGCCCTGACCAGTCACTGTCCCCACCCAGACCTCGGGGAGGGACATACCTCAGTCAGGACGGATGAGGACTCGGGCTTTGACACGTTGTGACTGTTGAAGAAGATGGACTCTCGATCTGAAACGGGCAGAGACAGGAGGGGTGCGCTCAGAACCATTCCCCCAGCTGCCACCTGGGGGCAGTGCTGTCCTGCCATATGCCTGCGGTCCTGCTGAGGGGGGCGGCCACAGCCACTCTCAGGAGATGCCAACTCCTCACCAGGGACAGACCTGTGCCCAGGCCGGGCCACCGTTTCACCTTGCCTTCCCACCGAGCGGCCTCTAATGTCACCTTACAGCACCGTCCCCGGCTGTCCAGCACCCAGGACCCTGTACCCTCAGGTGTAGGTGTAGAGGGGCAGAGTGGGCACGGATGTGTTATCCCAGTCTCCAAGGCCTGGGGAGCCCCAGGACACACAAGCCTGGCCATCAAGCCAGCACACCCACCCATCCGCTTGAACTCTTTCTAGGGGTGGCAGGCCCCACTCATCTGTGTTTAACTCTTTCTGGGGGTACCCTTCAGGAACACCTAAAACACACATTTTGTTGTCGCCTGTCTGGAGAGAACTAGACACCAGAGATCTTCTTCAGTCAGACACTTCTGAGCCAAGGGGCGATGTGGCCACTGGTCCTTGAAGCCACCAGCCTCCAGGATGCTCAGTGCCTCCTCCGCCCACACCACTCTGGCCTTGCCATGCCCCAGACCAGACCTCTCAGTCCCATGATGGACACCACAGGAGGAATGCCTCCAAGAACAGCCGTAACCCCTGAATGGTGCCTGAGAGCACCCCAGCGAAATGCCCAGGGTACACCAGGGATACGGAAGGACAGCTGGACGCTGGATGCGCTCCATCACCTGGAAGCGGGGGCCAAGAATGCGAGAATCACGGAATCACGGAGTTTGGGGGGGGGGCAGGATTCAGGGCTGAGTCACCTCCCCGGAGAATGGCAGGGGTGGTGGTGGGCAGCAGGCCTGGGCCAGGATACCCGGGCGAGTGGGATCTCATCCGGGGGCAGGACGGAAGGTGCTGGCTGAGGCCGCCGGGCACAAGCCCCTGCCCACCGTCCCCACCAGACCGAGGACAGCGACCGACGATCATGCATCAGAAGTGATTCGGGCGAGGCCAAGCAGGCGAGCCGGATGTACCTGTCCTTCCGGCCAGCGGCGCGCACGGGCCCCTGACAGTCCTCCCGCCGCTGCGACCAGACCCGGTCCAGTCTGGGGGCCCAAGACACGGTCCTGGGGAGGAGCCTGGGGAAAACAGACACCCCCAGGGCTTGTACCAGGTTGACCACCCACTTGCTAGCACTCAGGGGGCCAAGAGCACGGGCGTGGCCAAGTCCCATGGCTGGTGGAGCTCGGGGGCTGGTGGGCATCCTGTCCTTCTGAGGGCATGGTCACCTTCCTGTCCCGATGCCCAGCCCCAGGCCCCACCGGCCTCAGGGAGCTTCCCGCTCACACACCCCTGGAGCCTAAGGCCATTGAGGGCAGATGGACAGAGTAAGAAGGAGGGAGGCTGGTTCCTGGCACCAGCACAGAGCTAATTCCAGGGGTGCTGGATACATGCTGGGGAGAGAGGGGCTGGGACAGGGAGCCCCAACAGGCCAGGCCCCGTCACTAAACAGCGTCTCTCACAGAGGTAAGAGGTCTGAGCCCTTCTGAAGGACACTCACGCCCCCAGTCCATTCTGACTCGGGGTGCTCTGGCCGGGAAGCACTCAGCAGGGCAGTGTAAATCCTCTGCTTCGTTGTTCCTCATGAGCACTTCCGGTCTCCCCCCACACCCCCAAGATTCTAGAAGGCACAGGGCCCAACAGAGGGCTGAGTCTCGGCCAAAGTCCCTCAGCACAGGTGACTGGGGCAGTCTAAAAGACCGTGGCGTGCTTCCTGTGCCGGGGGCTGGCACCTGTACCCACGAGCACCCTGGTTCATCCCCGACCCCTCAGGCCTGAGCCCCACAGCATGGGTGGGGAAGCACCATCACCTTCCTGTGAAGAGGGCGGCACAGGGGTAGGAGTGCGATGAGGGGGGGTCCACAGGAGCGCGTGTCCCCATCACACAGGTGGGAAAACTGAGTACAAAGGAAGCAGAAAGGTCGGAGGAACCACACGGATTCCCAATAACCCAACAACCCTGTATGTAATCAGCAGCTGTGGCCACTGTCTGCAGCCCCCTCAACTCCCCTGTACGCTTCCTCTGGGGCTCTCCTTGTTTTTAATCGTTCTGCAGACAGAGGCCCAGGTCTTCTGCCAGTGCCCACACCTGCTCAGAGGGGTCATGCCTGGCACCCGTCCTGAGGGCTTCCTGCACCAATAGTGCCCCAGGACAGACCTGCAGTTGTCTGGGGCCACCATGAGCCCCTGTACTGTCGGTCTGCTTGTTTTTACCTTCTCACACTTGGACATACGTTCACGAGGGCAGAAGGCCACCTGCCTGCTTTGTTCTCTGCACAGAGAGGTTCCAGTGCCTTCCAGCGACTCTAAGATGCTCTAGGTGGAGGTGGCTGTGTGCCACTGAGCCGATTCCAACTCAGGGTGAGCCCCCCAGGACAGAGTAGCCCCAATGGGATTTCCCAGCCGGTCATTTTTAAGGATTGGGTCTTCTCTCCCGTTGGTTCGAACTACCAATCTTTCCAGGCTGGCAGGCAAGCATTTAACCAGGGGTCACTAAACTGCAGATTAAAACTGGCCCAACGTCTGCTTTTATAAATAAAGTTTTATTGGCACAAAGCCATGCACACTCACTTAGGTATCGTCTACCTCTGCATTCTTTCTACAACGGGAGCCCTGAAAGGCCGTGGAGCTGCTGAAAACATTTAGCATCTGACCTTTTGCAGAAAAGACTGGCTGACCCCTGCTCTGTGTTGTGAGCTCCTTCTAGGTAGCTCTAAGGGGGAGGGGAGAGGGGAATCCAAGGCAAAGGTAGAGCAGGATTCTGGAGCAAAGCTGAGCGCTCAGGGAGCTGGATCTCAGAATAACAAGACATAAACCCACCACACAGAAAGGCAGCGCCAGGAGACCGGCTCTTCTCACACTTGGGAACTGGATCTCCCCAGGAATCAACAGCATCTGTAAGGACTTGAGGGCCTGACAACCCCAAGTGTAGGATGATAGAGGGAAACATGGGGGGCGTTCAGAGGGGAATCCTTGTCTTCCGTGTGCAACACCCAGCTTTGCGTCCCTGCCAAAGCGACTCGGGCACAGCCACGACCTGTCTGTCCCTGGAGCCTTATGTGCTGGTAGGACGCTGAACGGGTTTTGGCGGAACTTCCAGACTAAGGTGGTCTATGAGGGAAGGCCTGGTGATCTGCTTCTGAGGACCACCCAGCAGAAACCCTACAGCTGACAAGGGTCCAGTCCAGAATTGGTCACAGGGATGCAGCTGGACTGGGTGATGCCTTCCCTGTGGTGTGGAGGGCTGCACGGGCCAGGGGTCAGCTCAGTGTCAGCTAGTGACCAGCACAACAAAAACCAGCTCAGAATCAAGAGAAAGGAGCAGCTGTGAATGGACACTGTGCCATCCACATCTGACGGGGTGGCGCTCAGGGTTTAGTATTCAGAATGGCTTCCCTGGCCTTTGACGGACTTTGCCATGTGGACGGCTGGGAATATGTGATGGGCTGTGCTCGCCTCTCCACGAGGAGACTGCTCAGTCTCACCTTTAAATCGACAGACCCAGGAGCAGAATGCGAGAGCAGGACGCCAAGGGAAGAAGCCGTGAGAGAAGGTAGTGCGTCCTTCAGGGCCGGAAATGGCTGGGTCAGCCAGGCCCAGGGTCTACGGGGCCGCAGCCTCAGCTGCTGCAGTGGGGAGACAGAGACCTGACGTGAGACGGAGCAGACCTTGACACTGTTACGCCATTGACCCAGAGCCCTTTGCCCAGGTTTGTTGGAGGACTGAGAGTGAGAGCCACGACCGGCAGGACTGAGAGCTTTGTAACAGTGGCCTAAAGCCACAAGGCTGAAGGCTGAGGTGCCTGAGAGCGTGTTTCAGAAGCTGTCCTGACCTAGTGATCCCATCTTCTAGGACAGTCCTTTTGTATCATCTGTGAGCTATCTATCACATTGGATTCTGGACCCGGTAAAAGAGTAAGACTGGTGCTGGGATGCGGAGAAAGAGGTACGGGAGCGTAGGAGGCATGCCTGACATCATGAGAGTTGGTTATGTGTTTCTGATGGTGATGGGGACAGTTCCCCTTTGTGGAGCTGGTAAAGGTAAAATATGGCCATCCCCGTGTGGCCCTTGATCATTTTACAGAGGTCCAGAGAATGCCAGCCAAGGAGCTCCTGCCTCTCTCCATGGACACTGGTTGCTATGAGACCACATTGGACCACATACACCAAAGAGCCAGGGTGGGGTCGGGGAGGTGAGGCCAGGCCATCCACTCCTTGCAAAGTCTCTCCCATTGGTCCAGCCAGTCCCGTAAAGGGTTACTGAACCATGATACAATGTCAGACTCTATGTCTGCAGGAGAACACATGGGCAAAGGAACCAATCTCTGGTGGACACATAACCAGCTTTTGGGTGAAGAGCACATAAGCACCCCAAAACCCACAGCCCACAGGCGGACCCTCTCTGCCATCTGTGTGTGTTCCTCTAGGGGTATGTCAGGGGTTTGTTCAGCCTTGGCCTACTATGCTTGGTAACCGGGCACCCTGGAATGGCCCACGAGAGGCCACCCGGGAGTCCTCCCAGACGCAGGGCTGGCTCCCCCACCGCCTCTGCTGGCCCCGCCACCAAGACAGGAACCAGACCAGTCTCAAAACCAGAAATGAAACTTGGAAACTCAATGTAAGGTCACTATGAGTTGAAATCAAATTGATGGCAATGGGTTTGAGTTTTTTTTGAGATTCTACACTTTTTCCCTGTAGATTTAAAGCATGGTTTGGGTTTTGTTTTTTTAAGTTAGAAAAGTAAAGTTCTAAAAAAAGCCTCTTCTTACAGTTTACAAGAACATCTCTTGCTTACATTTTTGGCTGGGTGCTGTCCAGCCTTCTCTTCTCCTGTGACCACACAGGGCCTCCCTGTGTCCACGCAGAACTGCCCCAAAGGGTGCTCTGACTGTCATCTTCATGAGAGCAAAGGCCTTTCTCCCAGCTGCCACGGGGGGAGGACTGAACCACCAATCCTTCAGTCAGCAGTCCAAGCATGTAAGCATTCAGGCCCTTTTTACTTATACATGATCACATACACCCTCCAAATGATGGGAGGTCCTGTGATCACTCCATCATCCCAGAGGGCTGGCTTTAGTATCTGTTTTAGGGTCCTGAACCCCAACAATCCAGCCCCACGGCTGGCTGGAAGGCTCTCGCACACAGAAGGGAAGTGTAAACTGACAGGCATTCCCAAAGTGGAAGCTCTCTGCACTGTCAGTGGGGAGAAGGATGTGGTCTGGGGAAACACAGCAGAGGGGCAGGTGAGAACAGCTGAACTTCATCCCAGAGCAGTGGCTTCCAAGGGCTCCCGGCGTGGAAGGGGACTGTCCCAGGAGCAGCTCTAAGAGGACACAGCTGTCTCCCAAGACGGAGGCACGGCTCCAGAAAAGGCTCATTTCCCCTCAGAGAGGCAGACACACGACGTGTCTCAGCAGATGCGACGGGGCCATCAAACATCCTCTCAAGGAGTCCTCTTGGAAAGCACCACTTAATCAGAGACACTGCCCCTGCTCTGAAGGGTTCTGGGACTCGCCTGGGAGCTGCTGTCAACTGGAGAACATTCTTCAGAGCAAGTCTTAATTTTGAGTCAGTTACTGAGAGGGCCAGGTCACCTAGGGTCAGGTCTGGCTAAGGAGGTGGACAGCTGCTGAAGGGACATTCTAGCTGTGTGAGGCCCTTGGCTGGGCCCACTGACTGTGCGCACCAAGCCACCTCAAGGTCTCCAGGTGGCACAACACTGCAAACATCAAGACATGTTACACCTGAGGGACTCGGACGGGCCATCGCCCAGGGACACAAAACCAGCTCCTCCACCCCGGGAGGGAGGCGGGGCAGGGTCACAGCAGCCACTTAAGGTTCCCATCTACAATCAGTGAGTGGCCCTAGTGTGTGCTTCCTCATTCGGGAGGATGAGGAAGCCAGAGTGAGCAGTCCACACATCCTGTCTGACTCAGAAAACATGGGGTCTTTTTTTTAAAAATTTTATTTGTGTGTGTGTGTGTGTGTGTGTGTGTGTATACCATCAAATCAGATCTGACTGGTACAGGAGGAGATTGTTTCGCCTTCTCCAGCAGAGCATCTGTCGGATTTGAACTGTGCACCTCTGGGATTGCAGTGCAGCTTCTTGCCAGTAGGCCACCAGAGCTCACCAAAAACATGGGGTCTGTCCTTTTCTGCCTCCCAGAAGGGGATCCACGGTGAGCTGGCCACGCCCACTCCAGGGAGCTCCTCCCACACGCCCTATCACTGGCAGTGTCACCTGCACAGGAAACTTCCAGAAGTTTCCTAGTATTTGAGGATAGCTTGTAGATGTCTCCCTCTGCAAATACTTTAAGGACCAGGGATTTTTATGATTTTTTTAAAAATTATCCTACAAACTGCTCTATCTAGCTATTGTCCATCACAACTTTCCAACCTGTAGACAATCCCTCCCCCCTCACCCCCAGGAACAGCACAGGTAACAGGAAAGCTTGAAGGACAGACAGCTGGAGCCATGTCCTGACCGAGCCCTGGGCCCAGCACAGTTTGAGCTGGGGCAGAGCGTGGTTACCTGAAGTGCCCGCAGAGAAGTTCTTGAGAGAGGGCCTCTGGACCACGGTGTAGGACTCGCCAACCACAAACACCTTGTACAGGACGGCATTGTGGTTGATGAAGTTCTGGACCACGCAGGGCGGCTGGATGGCATTCAGACCCTCCTGGTTGAACACGATGGCCATCTGGGGAGACAGGGACCACTGTGAGTCCCTTAATGCCGAGGCCCGGAAGGGTGTCCATCAGGTGAGTGGGGTGGGACTCAAGAACGCGTGGGGGTGAGGGGGGAGGCAGGGACTGTCGCCAGCACTGTGAGGTGTGGAAATCCTGTCTCCGTCAGGCTCGCCATGGCAGGCTGTCCAGACTGCGCACTGCACTATGTTAGAACACCATCCTACGTCTTAGGGAATGGAGCTCCCTCTAACTCCTCTCCTCTGACACGTCAGCAGGATGAGAGCCCCCCCACGGGCAGTCACAGAATCTTCTAGCAACAGTTCAATGATTGAGTGTCCTTGAGGACAGAGGGGCACCAAGGTGAGGAGGGAGACAGAGCTCAGAGCCCACGGCCGCCTCTGCTCAGTCCTGTGGAGGTCACAGAGGGAGACAGGAGGCCATCCAGACAGGACAGGAACGGGGTGGGACAGCTTACAGGGATGTGACCAGCTCAGCAGTAGTCCGTCCATTGTGTACAGAGAGGAGGGGGCGGGGCGAAGGCAGGATTTAGGGGGATGGGGAAGCTACTGTCCACTCACCTCGTGAGAGTTGGTTCCATGAGCCACTCTGGTTTTGCAGACTGTGGACAAGGAGAGAAAGGGAGAGATCAGTGAGTGAGACCAGCATAGTGAGCGAGTGAGGCTGGTTCAGTGGGGCCATGGCGTGGCCATGAGGAAGCTCCCAGAGCCCATGGGGGCCTCACGGGGTGGTAGGGAGAGCTGGGACATGCGGGCTTGGCTGGACAATGGCTATTCCCAGGGAGGGTAATGTGGTCAGGCATCACCAGGCTAGGCACAATGAGCCTTGTCCACACCAGATAGAGGGGCCATGATCTGTGTAACCAGGGCCTCCACGCAGCCCAGCAAGTGCAAACCCAGGGCGGTAGGCAGCCCTGAGTCCTATCAGGAGCTCAGGGCCCCTCTCACCCAGGTCTCTGTCAGCAGCCGGGCCCAGGCCAGCCGCGCTGGGGGAGCGAGTGGTACGTACTGAACGGAAAGGCCAGGCCGTTCTTCTCCAGCAGCCGCATGGTGTCGTCCCCACACAGGCTGGTGAGCTCCATGAAGGGCGGAGAGCAGATGCGGTCATCTAGGGAGAAGAGAAAGGGTCAGCACGCCCGCCTGCCCCAGTCCCACTGCCCAGCGTCCAGGGAAAGGAAGAAGCAAGTGCCTGCCCCGAGCCCTGCCGCTCCGCATCCAGGAGGAAGAGGACGTGGTCAGCACACTCGCCCCAAGCCTCACTGCCCAACGTCCAGGGGAAGGAGGAGTGGCCAGCGTGCCAGCCTGCCCCTAGTCCAGCTTCAGTGCACCTGGGCTGTCTTCCAGTCTCAATACCAAAGCCCCCATCGGCTGGCTGATCCTGCCATTAGTCCCACTGACCAGTATTTAGGGGGAGAAGGCAATCAGCGCCCATGTCCAGGATGTAGAAGGAGGAAAGAGGCCAGCACACCTGTTAGTCCCAGCCCCACTGCCTGGGGTCCTGATAAAGGATACAGAGGCCAGCATGCCTATCAGTCCCAGCCCCACTGCCTGGGTCCAGATAGAGGACACAGAAGCCAGCACACCTGGCGGTCCCAGCCCTATTGCCCAGGGTCCACATAGAGGACACAGAGGCCAGCACACCTGTTAGTCCCAGCCCCACTACCTGGGATCCAGATAGAGGACACAGAGGCCAGCATGCCTGGTGATCCCCGTCCCACATCCGGGGTCCAGATAGAGGACACAGAGGCCAGCACACCTGGCGGCTCCAGCCCCACAACCCAGGATGTAGAGGGAACAGACGGACCAGCAATGTCTCCATCATATCCAGTATCTTCCACGAAGGCTTTACTCTCCTGTATTCTGTTGATCCAGGCAAATACAGAGAGGGACCAACGCCGGAATCTTAGGGAGCATCTTGGTGTAATGTGTCAGGAGCTGTGCTGTGGGCCCGGGGGCCTCGCCTCTCTGGCGGTTCGAATCTACCAGTGGCTCTGAGCGAGGAAGACAGGCAATCTCCTCCTGTGCCATTTACGGCCAGGAAAGCCCTGCTGGTGGGTCAGCAGTGAGCTGGGCTCTGAGTGGACGGCACCGCGTGAATGTGTTGCATGTGGTGTGCTGTGTGCTGTGGAGAGTGTTACAGGTATTACAGAGTGTAAACTGCCGATGCCGTCCTTCTCATGCCAATCCCCAAAGATAAACAACGATCAGACGTAGATGTCAACGACCAGAGGCAACACTAAGAAAAACTATTAAAAAGATACTGGATATGACGGAGACACTGGAAAGGAACCTCATCTAAAATTGAGCACTACCTGTACCCAGGATTTTTCTACAAAGAGCCTGTTTACAAAAATACTGTTGTTGTTGTTGTTGTTGTTCTGTGCCGTCGAGTTGCCTACGACTCATAGCGACCCTATAACAGTCCTAAACCCTGCTCTATCCTGAGCCAATCTTACTGTCTCTGATTTGCCTATCCTCACTACCTCAGTGACTGAATCAATCCACCTCATAGAGGGTCTTCCTTTCCTTCACCGTCACTCCACCCTCCCAAGCATGACGTCCCTCTCCAAGGACTGATCCCGCTTTGTAACATGTACAAAGTATGTCAGACGAAGCTTCAGAATCCTTGCCTCCAAGGAGCAGCCTGGCTTCATCCTCTCCAGGACAATCTTGTTTGTTCTCCTAGCAGTCCATGGTATATTCAATACTCTTCTCCAACAGCAAAGCTCAAAGGTCTCAACTCTCCTTCTATCCTCCTAGTCTCTGTCTAGCTCTCTGATGCACAGCAAGTGACTGAAAAGACCATGGCCTATATCAGGCACACCTTAGTCTCCAGACTGACATCCCTGCTCTTCAGTACTTTGGAAAGGTCTCTGACAGCAGACTTGCCCAATGCAATTAATCTTTTAATTTCCTGACTGTTGGTCCCAAGACTACTGCTTGTACAGCCAAGCAAACTGAAGCTGTCAACAATCTCAATCTTTTCACCATCTATCATGATGTTGACAATCAGTCCAGTGGTGAGAATCATTGTTTTCTAATGTTGAGTTTCAATCCATATTAAAGACTGCAGTCCTTGACCCTCTGCAGCAAGTGCATCATGTCCTCCTCAGTTTTAGCAAGCTGGGTTGTGTCATCTGCATAACACAGATTGTTGATGAGTCTCCCTTGAAACCTCCTGACACCACACTTCTCATAGAACCCAGCTTCCCGGGTAATCTGTTCTGCATACAGATTGAAAAGGTATGGAGATGGGACACACCCTTGATGCATAAACTTCTCAGTTTTTAACCATGCAGTGTTTCCTTGCTCTGGAAGGATCCCAGAGGGCAATGTGAGAAGATAAAGTAAAATATTACAATGAAATGTGCAAGGAGCTAGAGTCAGATAATCAAAAGGGCCGAACGTGCTCAGCATTTCTTAAGCTGAAGGAACTGAAGAACAAATTCAAACCTCAAGTTGCAATACTTAAGGATGCTTTGACGGAATATGAAATGACCCAGGAAACATTAAAAGAAGATGGAAAGACTACAGAGTCATTGTACAAGAATGAATTGGTGGACATAGAAAAATTTCATGAAACAACAATAAATTCTGTACTCAACGTAAAAAGGACAGAGTGATGGAAATTACGATTATTTTAAGGTTCTGGCATAATATGATCATGCAAACACTACGCATATCTTGGGATATTTTCAAAGGTGAATTTCAGCCTCGCTGGATGTTTTTAATAAAGAAATGAGCCACAGTCAAGAGGTCACAGAGCAGGTTTGGTAGAACTCCGGTGACCAGAACATGAACTCCTGACCCTGTGCAGCTGGCCGGGCCTGAGAGGGTGGGGTTCCCAGTAATCCGGGAAAGTCACGTGAGATTGGTGGGAGGCTGGGCTGCTCATGCCCCAGCAGGGCACACAGCCCCCTCACACCCAGACCCTCTGGAATCAAGTCTAGGCAACAGGACAGTGAGGGTGCAAGTGCAATGTCTCAGAGCCCCCAGAAGCCAGCGCAGCTCCTGCCCGTGTCTCTCATGCCCTCCTGATGATGCCCACAGTGTGCTCGACTCAGAAAACCTCAGAGCCAGCAGGATGGAAGGGCGGGAGGTGGATGGCTTCAGTGCCCCACGCTCACTGGGTCAGGGTGCAGGCCCACACCCCTCCCAGATAAGGTCAGCCGTCCTGGGAAGCGCTGCTTCAGGGCCAGGAAAAGTGCCTTCTCCCAGCCTGCAGAGTGGTCCACAGAGCAGAGAGGAATCCTGCTCGAGAGGGGCTGCTTCAGAAACGCAAGGGTCTGCTGCTGGGCTCCACACATCCACGCCAGCAGACACCCAGACACAGACCGGCCATCACGTCCATGGGAGGGCGGGCAAACGTGAGTTAAAGGCTCTAGAACGTTTAAAATATTGGCAGAGTGCTCTTATGGAGGATAAAGTGTTGAGAGGCATTGTGCAGTATGAAAAGGCATAATGATGGTATTTGTGCAGAGATGCAGGATGTGTCTGTATATTTTTATTTATTTAAAGAAAAGGAGACTGTTTTATAACCTAAATTGTGATGAACTATGCACGTCCTTCTGCTTCAATAAAGACTTATTCCACTGGGCAGCATGTCGGCGTAGCAATAACCGCCCATTCAGCCCCCACCACGTGGCGAGAACCTGCTGAGGGCTTTGCATGTATCATTTCTGGAGTCCTCGGATTAATCCCATGAGGGGGAAACTGAGGCTGGAGAGATTAAAGTGCAGCCTGCCACATACTCAGGGTGCCTGCCCAGTGACTCAGCCACCCATCTGCTAAGGTCTTCTGAACCCCTCCAAGCTCTCAAGTGTGCCCCTCTACAGCAGGGTCCCAGGACCACCCTCTTGCTAGCCCCTTCTCACCATCTCGGGGTCCCGCCTTCCCGGGCGCCCACCCAGCGAATTCTTTAAGAAGCTTGGAATCTGAGTCTGCTCTGCTCATCACAAGAGCCCTGATGCCAGGCACCAAGTCAAAGCTAAATGGATTATTTGTGGGAGAACAAAACGCGTTCTGAGCCTTGCTGCTGAATATTAAATTACCAGCTTGTTAATGTTACTTCTTGTCAGAGGGCCTTCCCTGCCAGACCCTGAGCCCCCAGGGAGGTGGAGACCACCCTGGATTTCTGGGCACAGGACTGGGGAAGGCAGATTGTTAAGGGGGGGCTGGGGGGTGCTCCCCTATTAACTTGGGAACCAAACCAAGAGGAAACGGGCTTGTCCTCCAAGAGCTTTGAATGACTTGGTTAGCTCGGAAGTGAGCACATTAAACCAAGGTATGGTCCAGGCTCAGATATCTCATAAAAATGGATGCCAAGGATTATGCCAAGGATTATTAAAAGGGTCTGCTCTACCCCTCAAGTCCAAACTCTAAACAGGCAGAAGGATGCTGGCAGGTTTCAGGGAGCTGTAGAACCTTTTGGGGAGTCGAACATTTGCTCAGCCCTTCCTAGCCATGGTTGGAGGCCCTGTCCCTGATGCAGACTCCCAAAACAGAAAAGAACCCACTGAGATTGAAATGCACTTCCTGTCAAAATCTCAGCTCTTTTTTAAAAAAACTGACAACAGTTCATAAGGTTCATGTGGAAATTCAAGATGCTAAACAGCTTTTTTAAAAACCCCAAACTTTCAACAAAGCTGTGGTAATCAAGATCTCGGTTGGTAGTGGCATAAAGATAGAGACAATGGAACAGAGCTGAGAGTGAGAAATAAATCCACCCGCCCACGGACTTTCCCACAAGGGTGTCAGGACGGTTCAATGGAGAAAGAATCAGCTTTTCAACAAATCTGCTGTAACAGCAAAGAAACAAAGGTGGACCCCTACCTCACAGCATATGTGAGACTGACTCAGATATTAGAGCTAAAACTACAAAGTTCCTAGAAGAAAATGAGCAATTCTTCACAACCTTGGATTAGGTGGTGGTTTCTCAGATAGGCTACCAATCAGTCAAACTTCATAAAAATACAAACTTCTGTCTTCCAAAGAACAGTATCAAAGGGATAAAGTGATCCAGGGAATGGGGGGGGGGCGGGGGAGACACACACACACACACACACACACACACACACACACACGCAGATATTTATAATCATTTGTTTG